TTTCTGTAGATGTTTGCCAGAGGTTTTTACAAGATGAAGAGATTCTCCTGCTGGCTGTTGGAGCCATTCAAAACCTGGTTCGAGATTCTTATGTGAACCGCTGTCGCCTGGCCGATAGTGATGGCTTGATTGTACTGAGTCGCATTTATCGTGCCTCAGAAAGTGAAGCAATAAAGACCAAATGCCTTCATGCTCTCAGGAACTTAGTAGGCAAATATATGTGAGTAATTTACAGTCTGTTATGAGCCGGAATATGAGCCTTCCATCACAGCGAGTGAACGTCGCGCATGCGTAAGGGGATCAATTCTGGCCTCCAAGTCACGATTGGTTTTTCGTAGACCGTTTGATTGGTTAAAAGCATGCAGAGAGCTTTTTTGAACAATCACAGAGCGAAGTAAAGCAAAAGCAAAAAAATCTGGGATTACTTTCGACCCTCGACTGAAAATTACTTTAAAAATTATCAAGTCATTTGTTAGCGCACATTTAGTCGGATAGACGAGCCTCACGGGAAAATGAAGGGTGGCTGTGAATTGTTGCCATTGTAGAAAAGCAATGAGCAAACAGAAGTAACCTGAACTGCACACAACGCATAAAATTTTTCCCCATATCTTGCTGGAGCAACGATCCTTTTCTTTTTCCGCAGAACAAGTCTTGAGGACTGTGATTTGAAGGTTACGAAAACGTTTCGAGACCTTGATCCCCGCAGTATAGTTGACGATATCAACAGTGTCAATACGGTAATTTAAAAGTATAAGGGCTCATCATGTACACCAGATCTAACATTTACTTCCTGCGTTTTACGCGGGAAGTAAGCTTCAGGTTTTCTCCTTCACAGAGTTGATTTAATAAATAAATGGCTTTCCTCTTTTAGCCGTCGGCTCTCTGAAACTGCTCACAAAAATAAATGGTCAGATAAAAGATTCAGCCAAATTTAGATAGTCTAAAAATTAATAAATAAATAACAGGCCCATAGAGTCTTAGAGTTTACGTCTAAGGGACTTTGTGGTCTCACGGTCAGCGTGTGAGACTCATGGTCGAGAGGACTGGGCACGACACCTGGCCTGGTCACTATGTTGATTTCTTGGCCAACACACTTTACTAACACAATGCCTCTCTCAATCTTGGAGAGGAAATGGGTACCAGCAAGCTCTCAGTAAAGCACAACAAAATTTTGAGGGAGGGAGGGGAGGGGGTAACATAGACCAGCACCCCACTGAGAAACAATACAAAAGTCCTTGTTTTTTCCTGTCGAAGACCGAGGCGCCTTGTGGGTCACTCGGCTTGGGTGACCTCGAAATTTATGGCTTAAAGTGATAAGGTTGTAACTTAGTTAAAACTGCACTGTTTACTAATGGTTGTGTGCGTGTTGCAACTCTATCCTCCTCATTAAATAATACTAATGTTGTTGCTGTTTTTATCGTCACCGAAGGATATTTATTTTAAATTTGTCGACAGAGAAAAAAGTTTTCTTTGGCTGTATCAGATGATGGAGGATCGCGTCATAGACGACCTCGACGAAGGCGACGGAGGTAGCTTACTATCGTGCTTCAGAAAAGCTGTAACTTTATGTAAACTTGATCATTTTTTATCTGAAAGCAGAAATTCATGTAGTGTGTCTTGTGCTTCCTCAAACAAGTAACTGAGTTCATGTAAAAGCAATTTTCCGTCAAGTGTCGAAATTAATCAAGGATTGCTTTGGTCTTGCTTTTCTTCGCTTTGCGATTGGTTCAGAAAACTCGTGCTTATCCTCTTGACCAATCAGATTCAAGACTCAAACAAATTGCGACTTGGTCACCCGCGTTTTCCCGCGCCGTAAACTGTTTACCTCTTTTGCTTTGCGTTCTTATTGGCTCCTTATGATATTTTGCTTCTTCTGATTGGCTTTGTGGTTAGTTTAACCTTGGTGTTATGACGCTTAATAAAGGAGCACTCATGAGCGAGAAATCTTCATTTACCTGCAATATTGCACGGCAATTAATCTATTTTCCACAAGTAATGAAATACTGTAAATTTCACAGGTTGCGTCGCGGCGAGGTGGAATCTAAACCTACCCCAGTGGCGCTTTCTCCAGACAACATTAGACGCAGTTCAAGCGGAGAATCAAAAGGAGTCTCAGATTATGACATCAGTAACAGCTTTGAAGATACAGATGGTGACACAGACGGAGAAAAACTGGTGACCAGCCAGCAAGTTACATCCTCCAGCGATAATGTAGGTAGCTTCACTATGCGATTTATTGATAAAAATCTTGTCTGATTAAGTTAAGCGAAAGATGGATTTAGCTAAGCCTAAAAAGCGGAGCTCCAGATGGAAGGTGCTTTTTGCGAACGCGCTGGTCTAATAATTGGCGCGTATGACTGCAGGCAAGTCTCAGTTGCTTAACCCTGTACATCCTAACATCAGCATGCATATTCTCCATACTGCTCTTTATACATTTCCTAAGGTTCTGACAAGGAGAATTTGAGTACCAATCAAAAGTTTCTTTCGTTGGTGATCATTTCCTTTATTCTCATGACCCCAACGTGTTATTCAGGGGTGAAATTGTTGGGAGAAATTTGATGCTAGTCACTCTTAGGGTTTAAAGGGTCAATTGAATGCTAGAATGAATGCTATTTCTTGCTGAGAGAACCTAGATGAGCTAAGCGTTGGCACTTGGCCTGAGTCCCAATATTGCGTTCACGGAAAACTATTAGTAATGCACTAACAATGACTGCAAATTGTTCTTGTAGACAGATGTTGACAAAGAAAAGTATTACATTCAAGGCTATCATGTATCGTTTAGTGAAGATGACCTGCATGATATCAGGTAATTAATGATTTCATTGGCCCTTTTTTTCCCTGCAACGTTGTTTTCCGTACCACACTAATTGTTTTTTTTTTTCACTTGTTTCAATTGCCAGGCCTCAGACCAACGTGAATAATGTCTCCATAAAGCCAGTTACAAGGTAAGCCCTAAAGAGGCCATGAATACAGTTAATTTAATGATTGGTAGCTATGTGGCATTTTATTGACGTGACATGTGTCCTCAACTGGGTGCGTATGAGTGCGTTACGACCACATCGCGTGACATCGCGTGATAGCAGGGTTGTGTTACATACCTAAGGACTTTGGTGGAAAGATGTAAGCCATGGCGTATTGAAGGTTTGCATTAACTCTTTAACTCTTAAGAGTGATTAGCATCAAATTTCTCCTTACAATATCACCACTGAATCAATCATGAAGGTTACGAGAATAAAGGAAATGATCACCAACTAAAAATGCTTTTGATTGTTAAACAAATTCTCCTTGTTAGTACAACAGAAAATGTCTAGGAAATAGTATGGAGAATATGCATACTGATGATAGGGATGAAAACTTAGTCTTATTTTTTTTCTTCTATAGATCCCTATGTGCGTTTTTGAACAGTGGCAAGTGTGGAACAGTTTACCTTGGAATTCACAAAGATGGGATTGTGGCTGGTTTGAAAATTAATAAAAAACAGGTATGCTTGAGAGTTTTCTCTGCCTCACAAAGTTCACAAAAAAAAACATTTAACCTCTTCAAGCTTGTCTGTTGTAAAATTGTGAAAGTCTTACCTTCAATGGTTTGAAGATAGAATGGTTTCCCTCAATGAACCCAGAAATGGTTTTGTACGAGATAAAAAGTTAAGTTTACATCTTGTTTGTAAAACCTTCCACCTTCCTGTTTACGAGCTCCCGTTCCAAGGTTGGGTGAGCCCAGCGGTTACAAGTCAAGCATGCGCAGAACAAAATGAGTGCCCATAACCATTTTTTTATTGTTTCGCAGCGTGATCAGTTGCGTCTTAGTGTCGATGATATTATGGATCGCTTTCACCCGTCAGTCAAACATCACAGCTATCAAGTGGACTTTGTACCCGTAGTGAGACAGCGAGGCAGTGAAAAGTAAGATGGAAGGAATTGTGAATTGAGTTGCAGATTAGGCTATCTGGTGTATATTTCTCCCAACGCAAGTCTGCAATGTGTGCGAGTGCACAAACTGGATTTTGAGGCGAGCAGCTCATATATGAAAGTAATTTATCGTTTTCTTCTTTTGTTTTTGTGGTAGGCTCAGTTCAAGGGTACAAGCTGAAGATCGTTTTGTGGTGGAGATCAAGATTGTGAATTGCCCCGGTTTGACTTATACGACTCCCAACGGAAAGTAAGAGTCTGCTCGGTCTCAACATATTCTTATATTTTGCCCTTTTGACCTTGATCAGGCAATATTTCCCGCGCTTCGTACCTGATGCAAGTCTTTGCGCGCCGAACTCTTCGCTAATTGCATGTTTTCCCGCGCTTCAAACTGGCTGCACGCAACCCGCGCAAGAATTTTCGCCAATGTTTTATGTCGCATTGACAACTACGATTCATATTTTTTACAGGTGTTTCTTTCGTCAGAAGAATAGGAACGAAGAGGTACTGTCAAGAATGCTATAAGTAACTATTGTAAAATGCGTTACTACTTCATAGAAAATAGTGCCGTTTCCTCTTAATCCGTTGTTCTTTTCGCTTGAGTGTTGGGAAGACTTTGTGTCGATCTGCGCTGATGGAGAGTAACATGCGGACGCTTTGAACTTGCAGTAGCGGAATCTGATTCAAAACTAGGCGACTAGGTTTGTGATATATTGAACGTGGAAATGTTTCCATGGTATCAGCAGTCGGGTATTTTCCTCATTCTATGATTGGTTGAATATCTTTAGTTATCTCTACCAATCAGATGTAACAGCGCATATCATTACGACTTGGTCACGGGTGACTTTCCCACGTCTGGAGCTAGTTAAGTCATTTGTCAGTTTATGGTTTAACTGAAGTTGTTAATTTTTTCCCTTTATTTTGGGTTTTTAGCGAAGTTTGATGATCCGGTAGTGTTAAATTAAAACTAAAATAATCACAGTGGAAATTGAGAAGAAGAGCGATTATCCCAAAGAGCCAATTAAACTCTAAGTAAGAACTTTAAAACTATCAAAAGCGTGGGAAAAAGGGGGTGAACAAGCCGAGATTGATTAAGTTTTGCACGTTAGAAAGTGGAGCATGCTTTTCACTTTGATCGCAGAACATAGCACGGCAAAACCAATGCTGTCCAAGGTCAATCGAAACTTGCTATGAGATAACTGACTAGCTGGAAAAACAACAATTTAAATAAATATCATCTTCTTCACTGATTTGTTTGCGGAACTAAGTAGCTTATGCTTTTACAGTACACAACACAAGAGGTCAGGGAGAGAACTATCAAGGAACAGGAGGATCTGTATAACAGTGAAATGCAGAGGTAAGTCCGATTTTGATTTTGTGTGTCTTTTCTTTGCGTCATATTGCGCAGCGTAGAAAGAAACCGATGGAATATTCGGCTGAAATTACGATGTCGTGGATTTCTTTTCCTCTATTCAGATCATTTGGTTTTATCAACTGAGCTGATAATTTAAATTGGTCATCGATCAAAGTTTTTAAAACTGACGTTTCCATCGCCAAATAGTATGCGAGCGAATGGAAGCGAAATTCTCTGAAACTTTGTTGGATCAATATCAGTATTTGGGCAACTGCCCACCTTCCCCTC